ATTTTTTTTTTTTTAATTTCTCAGTTACAGTATTTTTAAAATTAGCTTTATTTAATCTAGAGTGTTTAGCTTTGCTCCATCATGTTTGCCTTGGAAATCTGCTAACAGAGCATCAGTTCCATTTAAGGAAAATGTGTCAATATCACTGCTTGGATGTTTTCTTTCCTTGCCTAGAAAATAAAAATCTCTTTGGTTAAAAAATGACAAGTGAACTGTTGTAATTAATCTGTGTAAAAGCTGATAGTGTTACACGCTGACAAACTCATTTCAAGAGCAGGTAACCTGTGGTATTGACCTTGAATCAGGAAAACTTCCTGTGATTCTCCTAAACTCTCCCAAACAGAAAGTGACTTTAAATCTGCACCTTGGTGTGTGCGCAGTCACGGCAGGGGCCGCTTGTGACAGTTTGGGAGCAGTGTCTCCTGTACCCATCCTGCTTTTTCAAGAGATCATGTTCCCGAATATGAGAGCCAGTGCTGCAATCCTGATCCACCCTGGGGCAATGAAGCCCTGTGCAGGAACACAGCAGTCGTTTGGTCATTTTCAGAACCATTTTTGACCGGCGCAGTGTTATCTATTTGCCCTTCTCGAGGACGCAGGAGTGAGGGGACAGGGACGTGTGAAGAAAATGTGGAATTTCTCCACTGACTGCCTTAAACACAAATCCACGGATCGATGGATTTGTTGAGAAATCAGACTGACACACAACTGCTGAAGCATCTGCGTTTGGCAGATTTCACTGCCCACAGCCCAGGCAGCGCCCGAGGGCAGCTCTGGCTCCTGCCCCACGTGAACCCACCCGTGGGTGAGCCCTGCAAACCTCTCCCTGGCAGGGAAATTCTTTCATAAGACAAGCAAAAATTTTTCAGCTTGCTGTTTTGAAAATTACCACTCTTTATCATACAAATTAAATGTCTGCCTGCGTTTTCAAAATCAAACCATGCATCCAGCTGCAGAACCGCCATCAGGTTTTGCTCTGCTCTGGACTGGGCAGAATAAAACTGCTTCAAATTGCCTGAAATCAAGTGTTGGTTTTTCACTCCTCCAAGTCTGAGCACCAGAATGCTTTCCATAAAGGGACTTTTTATAAGGGCAGTTAATGATAGGACAAGGGGTAATGGCTCTAAACTCAAAGTGGGGTGGGTTAGATTAGATATTAGGAAGAAATTCTTTGGTGTGAGGGTGGTGAGACAGTGTCCCAGGTTGGCCAGAGAAGCTGTGGCTGCTCCTCCCTGGAAGTGTTGAAGGCCAGGTTGGATGAGGCTTTGAGCAACCTGGTCTAGTGGAAAGTGTCCCTGCTGATGGCAGGGGGGTTGGAACTGGATGAGCTTTAAGGTCCCTTCCAACCCAAACCAGTCTGGGATTCTCTGATTCATAACAAAACAATGCAATAGGGGAGTTCACAAAAAAATAGGGAAGTTAACAAAATTAGGTTGTCCAAAATTGCAGTGTCCTTGTCTATTATTTCTAATTAAAGCCTTGGGGGAAATGTTGGGGAACTGTATTGTACCTTGAGAGCTGACTCCTCATTTCTGATGTAGGGTTAATGCTGACCAAGCTATGGAAACAGAGCACCTCAATTCTCTACCTCTTTTCTTTCACACAGGACTAATAAACAGGCTTCCTTGCTCAGTTCACAGCCATATTAAATTTGAATTATTCCTCTAAACTGCTGTGTAATACTAGGTATTAACTACATCATATTTTTCATAATGGATTTCTCATCATACATCCTGTACATACAATTTGGTGTAAGGAAAGTGTCCAACAGTCCTATAGAGTCAAATAAACATCAGGACGTTCACAGATACCTTTTTGGTGACGCCACGCGGCTGCGTTTGCTTCAGGGCCCGGACTGAATCATTTTTATTCTTCTGTTTATGAACAGGGTGAGGCACAACGGGTCTGTTAACATGCCAAAGTCCTTTCACAGCTTTGTGTCATTTTCTCCGCGTTATTTGACTACTTGCATATATTTCGTGCCATATACATGAAATCACGCTTTATTTTTGGGGTTGCAGCTATTTATATTCGTTGGAGGAAGAGGAACGTGGAAAAAGAACCAAGTTCTTTCTGGGCATCTGATTCAGAGAAGCTCAAGACTTCTCTTAATGGATCATGACATGTTCCTGACCTACAGAGCCCTGCAGGCAGCAAGCTCTGCCTATTTTATTGCACAGATTTAACCCTCGTGCTCTCAGGACTGGGTTGTCCTGTCCTGACGTGGTTGCTCATTCACACAGCGTTTGCATGGACAGTAAGAAAATAGTTCTGGCTTGGATTTGTTCCCTCTCTTAAAGCAGGCTCTGAACTAAGCACAACTTAACAAAACCAGCATCCCCATCTCTTACCTCTACTGCAGGTCAGCGTGGGGAAGCAGGGCTCTGCTCTGTTGATTTGCTCTTCAAGGTACATGATGTTCCCTTTTGTGACAGTGTCCAGCTGGGGCTCCACAATGCTGCTGCTTCCTGGCTCATCTGCTTTCTCTCCATCTTGCCATGGCTTTAATTAACTGGTGTTTCCACTTCCCTGTTCTGTGTAACAGGAAATACACATTGCAACACAGCCTTTTTCTAGAAAAAGATAAAAATTAAAAATAAAATCATTGAAGCATGAAAACTTGCATGAATCTGATGGCTGTACCTGTTCTGGAAGTTTGCTGCAGGGTTTCTGCTTGGATATTTATAATTAATAAATGAGGAGCACCTTGCAGAGCAGATACAAGTCTATGCTGTGTGTGTAGGGGGGAGCAATGGCCTAAGCACTGTTTATCAGAGAGAAAAGCTGTAATTTCAATAGGAGAGCCCAAAGTCAGGGTAATAACAAGTCACTGCAGCTCTTCCAGCTGCTTTTGCAGTCCCAGCTGGGCAGATTGGGTGCTGGGGGTCAGCATCACCCAGTGCTGCAGATGGAATAACTGAGCTCTTCTTTACCTTCCCCCCAGAGAGGTGGTACCCTTGTCCCCAGAGGAGGGGACACAGCTGAAAGAAATGCCCTGGCCAGGGTTTCTGAGAAGGTGTTGATGTGAGTGGGGAGGGCAGCTGAGGGGAAGAGGAGTGTGATGGGAGTCTTAGGGGTTTTAGCTTTCCCCAGGCTCTAGGGCTCTACCTCAAGCTGCCTGGTGAAGAAGTTACAGAGATGGGGGTTGAACCTGCAAAGGGGGTCAAATCCTGCAGGGAATGATGCCAGGAGGGGTGAAGGGGAAGCAGCAGCCAGGCAGAATGTGCAGAACAAGCCAGGGAGCATGAACAACCTGGGCACCCCCTCCTCTATCACACAAATAAAGTGAGTGCTGAAGTTTCCCTTCTCAAATGGCTTTTCACCTGTCTTCACAAGAACCTCCTTCCAGCGTACAGCACCAGGCAGGAAACTACACACAAGTACAGACCTGTTCTAGTAACGATCTGTGTTTTTAGAGCCAAGAAGGAACAGGGTCCTGCCCCAAGCTGAGGGACCTCATGCACAAAACCACCTAAAAGAATCAACCTGCACTGGGGTAATGCCTTCAGCGGCGCAGGGCGCAAACACCCAGCAAATACTTAATGACTACGTACAAAGGCGCTTTGGTCAGGGCTGTGTTGGGCTCCTCCGCATGTCAGCGAGCAGCTATGCAGCAGAACAGGCTCAAGGATTAAGGAGTCTCCGGTGAAACCCTTGTCGAGGACATCAGAGGACATCAGCCAAGCTGGGAAGTGAGTTGGGTGGTACCGAGCAGAGCTGCCTGCAGCCTCCCGGGCACAGGGTGCTGGTGCTGCCTGCACCTCTGCCTGCACCGCGCTGGCTTGGAGCAAAGCTGCTGGAGATCACGGCACGCGAGGACCCAACTGCTTCAGGTCAGAACATGGAGCTATTTTAGGGGCTCTGCCATGCTGTGACCCCAGCCCGGAGCAGTGACAAACCTGCCTTGCATGGGTGCCAGATGAGTTTCTCTTGCTGAGGTGCAGCGGGCTGCAGGTGAGGGGCTGGGGGCTCGCCCGTGAGCACGTACCTGCCGAACACCCACCTGCCGAGCACCCACGCAGCCTTATCTCTGCAGAGAAGGTGAGTTAATGTGTAACCCAGCTCTGTTTAGTTAGCCCAGCAAAGCAAAGAAGTCCTGGGATAGGCACGGCCAGGACGAGCATTTGGGCAGCGTGGAACAACAGATATCCTGGTAAAAAAGAAAAAAATATATAATAATCTCTATTCCTTCTTGTTCTTTGCTTTCT